GGTCTCGATCCAAGATCAGTGTGAGCCAATTTGATAGGCCACCGGAATCGTGTGCGCGCGTTACAGATCCGTGCTCTGCTGACAGTGATGTCGTTCTTTCAGCTTGTGCACCACATTCAAGTCCTCTTCGCTGCACGGTATAAATCCTAATTCCGGATACTGTGCTAAAAGGGATATACTTTCATCTGTGAGCCATAATGCCTGGGAGCGGCAGAGCGGTACTGCATGTGGGGTTGGTTTGAATAACACTTCCCTTCTCAGAAGTAACTTGATGGTGAGTAAATCCTGCACGGTTGTCTCCTCTGAAACAGCAACGAGTCTCTTGAACTCTGACTATGTTCGGCTGCCTCCTCAATAATCTTGCAGCATTACCGATTTTAACGATAGTGTCACCATCATGTTTTACTGCCTACAGTGTTTTATTTCGTCAGCTCACTTACTACCTGCTGCTACCGCCTGACGGTAGTGTGTTGTTTTGTGCTGAACCTCTTGACTCTCTTTGACTACCTGGATGGCTATGCTTTCCGATTGCTATTTGACTACTGTTAGCTCCGCCGGAACAGTGAGCCCATCCACTGTGGTCGCGCTAGATCCACTGCCCAGTGTCAAGGCCACTGCCAGGCTCGAAGCAGCGACCTGGACGGGGTCGCTTTGGCGGACCCCTTTTGCGCTTTCGAGAGCGTGCTAGTGACCTGTGCTGATGCGGCATGCATGATAGATTCGCGGTAGATCGTTTGGCAGCGTTCATTTATCGCTGGCGCGCGTCCAACTTTAGTACTAATAAAAATTCCTCGATTCATTCTCCTTTCTTTTCTGTGTTGATAAAATACTCCAATTATGGAATTAACAAGAAGACGCCGGTGTTCCCATCTCGTTGCAGCCCTCCTTTGGCGCCCTTCCTCTGTCAATTGCTCGACTTCCTCCTTTCCATAAGCCAGTAGCTCCAGTATCCACCCCACGCCCGTCGCTCACAAACCTGCAGCAAGAACAGCTTTATGGTGCGTTCGACCTGGAGTAAGGTGTCTTGATGTCAAACCTTTTAAACGCTGCAGAATTTTCCCGTCCGTCGCGTCGATTTTTTTTCACTCAAGGGCCAACCTCCTCATGTCGAGGCGGCTAATGCAATCCATTCAGCTTCAAACTGGGTACCCCAACGCCGCTATCGTGCAATCCAGTCTCCACAATTGCCGCACATCCCCAGCTACGAGAAGCTCGATTTGGTGCAGTATAAGTTGAGTATTAGATAAAAATTCCTGATTCGTATATCAGCCCCTTTTTGATCACCTTATTTAGCCATGCATGGTGCCCAGCTTGAGAATCATTATGGATGTGTCTATCTGTGCATAGTGTTAGATTTCGCTTGTGCTAGCCTCAAGCTGATAGTTAGTACCACGAAACCCCTTCTCCACGCCTTCTCCGTACGGTGTGTTTTGCTTGGCGTTCTTGAGGCGGCTCTAGAGCTGAGCAGGAGTTTGACAGATGAATCGGTTATGAAACTTCACCCGAAGGGTCTCAAAACGATCGATTCTCGAGTTGTACAACCACGCTTGACCCACCTTACCCCTAAGGCACTGCTTGAACGCAGTCAGTCACATCAGGCTGTCCATCCCGTAGGTGCACCTCTCACAGGAAGACCAGAAAGCTGCCGCTCTCTCGTTCGTAGCCGTCTCCGAGTAGAATGGAACGATCGCCTTTACGGCGTTCCGCAACTCATTTGGGATACCCACGTAAGGAACGGCTCGACGAGGATAACCTGCGCGCTTAGGAACGTCCTTGCGTCGATACTCAGCACCTCGAGACCCGGCGCTTCCTTCAAGGTCTCGGTTCCTCATATACGACGGTGACGCTCCTCCTATACGACGGCGACGCTCCTCCTGCCGCTAGAGGTATATCTAGCGTAGGCAAATTCGGGTACTCATGAGTCGGTGTTACGAGAGCTGCGGGTCAAGCAGGCAGTGTTCCACTCTGGCCCCACCTGGCAGTAGGCTGGGTCATCTACTGGTGCTGAGAATAGAGCGCTCCCATCCTGGGCGTTCCGCCTACCATTCCGCTCCCGTAAGGACTAAACTCCTTCGGAGGTACGCCTCGATACGCGGGAACCGGTCCTAAGGGCATTCCCACTGACATCGAAGTCTTCGCGGGGGGGGCGGGGCTTTAGGAATCTGATCCCTCTGGCTCTCGATTCGATGAGCGCTCGAAGGCCGTTCCAAATCCGTACATTCCATTCGGGCCGACCCAGGCGTGTAGCGTGCTTCTGGTCCCATCATTCGTGAGCGAGGCGTTCCAGCAGTAGACTCACGAGACAACGTCAGTTTCCGGAGTACTCGCTCGACCGACTCTTCCACCTGCGCTTGCAGCCTCGAGTCGTTGGAAGGCGTTCCAGACCGGGTGGACGCAGCTATCGAGCGAGCAGGGGTCGACGCAGACTTCGCAGACTTCGCAGGCGTGGTCATGGATCTCGCCGAGGCCGTCATCGATCGGGCAGCCGTCATCACTGACCGGGCCGGCGCTCTCTCCTGATCGGGCAGGCGTGGACATCGACCTCGCAGACGTAGCCATCGATCGAGCTGGCGTTGCCACTTGGTCTTCAGGTCGTCCCGAAAGGTACGTAGCCGTTTTCGTGGTCGTCCTTCCCCCCTGTGAACCCTGCTTCCGTTGTCATGTTCGTCGGGGTGGCTGTCTCCCGAGCGCTCCCAGTATCTCTGAGGGATGTCACCGAGGGGCGCGAGGGGTCGAACGAGAACGCCACTTCTCAGGGTGCTCCCGACATTAGAGCTCTCAGCTTCTCACTCTGTCCTGGCCGCCGAGCTAACTGCTACAAGATGACATCTAACCGCTCTTGTCTCTCAGGCGTCTCAGGTTCTGACAGGACCTCTTTCACTGCCCTCATGAACTTGGCTTCGTAGCTAGGAAACTTTCCTCTTTTTTTGGGGGCCCCTCTCGCCTCTCTTTGGAAATCCGCTGAACCCCAGCGCTTTTCGTTTTCCGCCTGGAACGCTCTCCACTTCCTCTTCTGACTCGCGAACTCTCTTCCTGTTTCGCCCCACCACACGCTGGTTATCTCGCGTGCGCCGCCTTGGTTTTCTCGCTAGATCTCCCGGCTTGGAATTAGTGACTCGGGCAGAAGTGGAGACGACCATCCCCCACCTTCTTCCCTTGTCTCACCGCCGTGTCCCTCATCAGACCAATCGTGAGCGCTTATAGCATTCCCACTTCCTTTTTCCTCCCGCTTCGGCGTTCCGTTGTTAAAGGGGCGGCTCACTTCGCGTTTACGTTCCTACGATTCTTCGGCGTGAAGATACCCTGCTTCTCCTCCAATACACCTCACAATTATAAAAAATTGACACCTGACTCGCCGCATCAGGGCTAGGTAAAGGTTCATTTTCTAGACACTACCAGTAAGGAGGAGGTCGGAGAACAAAAAGAGCAAATGAAAAAGAGCATTGCAGCTTGATCTAGGTCGAGGTAAAATACCTGTTTATTTAATGTCAAAATCGGTATGTACCGGTAAATTGAGCTCACATTCAACGATTCGCGATGGAAGGAGGACACGGTGCTCATGGAGGCGACCCCCCTCTCCAGAAGAAGACTCTGCGACTGACCCTCTTGGCAAGGCTCTTACTGAGAAGGCACCTCGCTTGGTATGGACTGATTCTCGTCTGCGTACTCTCCTCCACCTCCGTTTGATTGCGTACGGTGATCAATTTAACAAACACAAGAGCAGAGCGCAACTGACTGTACTGTGGAGCCGTGTGGTCCGTCGTTTTAACAAGCAGCATGAAACCAAGGCCGTTGTAGATCAGTTACGTAACAAATTCAATGCTATGAAGGCGTTGTTTGGCCAGATCCGCGCCGACGAGGCTACTACGGGAAACTTGGAAAAAGCGGTGAAGTATCCGAGCTACTGGTCAGTGCTCGTCGAGTTTTTTGCTGATAAGAAGGGGCTGCGTAACCAGGATTTCGGTCAATCGCAGGTGCCCCCACCTCCATTTAGGGCCGAAGGATCCGACGACGAAGCTGTGGTTTACGATAGAGGTGCCAGTGGTCGAAACGCTTGATTAGGATCAGTGTACCATCGATGGCACCGACAACACCAGGAAACCCAAGCATATCTTGAAACCCTTGTATCACCTCCGCTATCTCGTTGTCCGTGGACGGTAATCGAATAGTCTCTGACAAAAACGATGTCACCACGTGAACAACTTGGCGAATAAAAAGTAGTGCTTGCGTTTTGCCAGCGCCAACAATCTGTCCAGCCGCGTATGCACTGCCGCCGTGAGTAACATAATAAAAGGCCACCGCCACTCGATCTCTAATAGGAAAATGTGCGTTATGGCGAGGGGCTGGGCGTACGCTCGGCCATCTCTGCTCGATACGGGATACAATAGCCAGGAAAGTTGCACGATTGCACCGAAAATTCACTGGAAACCAGCCGTCTGCAAATATGGGGTCATCTAGAACTCGCTGCCATGTTGTGTTCCGTACGGAGAAGCGTCGGGCAGGTTTCCTGTGCCATCGATGCTTGTCACTGGCAAGAGTAGCCACTGCGGCAAATACAAGGGAGAGAGCAGCCAATTTTTTCCTCCCCTTCATGTGTGATCTCTTTTTTTAAAAGACCAACCTGTGGTCTGTTTTTTTAAAGAGATAACCGAAAATCAGTCGGCCAATCAGGTCCAAGAAAGCTATTTAATTTTTTGCTCTTTTTGTACTCCGACCTCCCCCTAAGCGGTCACTTCTTTCTCCAACAACCCTGCTTTTAGAGCAGTCTTGGGTTGAGCGACTCCTCATGCCAATCAAATTGACTGTTATGGCTGTCAAAATCCAAAGATCCGCGACCCTCCAGACGATATCTTCCAGCAATGAACGGCTCAGGAAGGCTGGCTCAAGTCGGATTAGGATATATCCTTTCTTCTTTGGTCCATGTTTCCTTTGTCATTCTCGGATTTGCTACTGCTCGACCACACCCACCATCATCACAACCAAGTCCGTTCAACCCTCTAATGAAGCTGCTAGGGCTGCTTGCTGCGGGGCTGCCAGTCGGAGCACTGGCCAGTAGTGCCTCACTTGGTCTCAAGGACTCCTTGCTGGCTGATAGCCGAGAACGCACTGTCTCGTTCGCGTCACTTCCCTACGATCTCCCAAGCAGCACTCTCATCTCCGAGGGGATTGCTACTACAGCTTTGAAAAACGTCAACGCGAACGAGTACGGTCACATCGGGTGCACGGAAACGAGCAAGTTCGAGGACAATGGCGAAGTTGCAGTGGTATTGGCCTTCTCCAAGTGTCTGAACGACTCGGCTTTAGACGTTGTGGGGGCAATGGGTGAACCAAGTTAAGGCCACGATCGCTAACGTCGCCTACGTGGACGACCTCAAGATCACGTTTCAGTCGACGATGGTGCCCGGTGCGTGTGAAGAGCGCAGTGAAAAGACCAAACAAGGTCTCGAAGACCCACACATGGTAAACCAGGGGGGCGCGCCAGCCGCGTTGCTTGCCGACGATGTCCTTCCAAGTGACCTGGAGCGACTAGAAGCGTTCCCTGTACTCGGTAACATTGTCAACTTGGCCAACGACGACGTGAAACTTTCCGTCAAGCCGATCGCTGTTATCTCTTTCGTGACTGGCGAGAAATCTTACGCGGAGGTGGAGAAGTTTGAGGCGAATGCTCACGTGTCCAAGACGTTTAACTTCCATATCTGCAAGAGCGGCACCAGCTGTGGAGGCACTTTTAGCAACTTCATCGACCTGCCAGAAGTGGTGGATCTGTTCATGTACAACCCGTTCACAGTCACGCGGTCTTTGCAGTGCGCAGACTTGGATGACGGCGTTCCAGTCACGTATCTGGACGACTTTGGCGCCCGTCAATGCTTCTGCAATTGTCCTGCCGGCTACGAGATCGGAGAGAACGAGTATGGCCATGCTGCTTGCAAGAAAGTAGTGGAAGACACTTGTCCTTGTGTCTGGGCCGAGTGCAATGGCTTCAAGCATAAAGTTACCACCAATGAGCCCGTGTGTTCTTTTAAAGAGGTGGCGTCCAAGTGGGGACTACCAGTTCCGTTCCCGACCGATGGGTACGTCGCTGATAAGCGTGATATTCTGTCGGAGGGGTACAAGGACCCACGTATTACCCTGACGGTAGAGCGTGAGCAAGATGCGGAATACAAGGGACGTGACATCCGTGGTGCTGTTGGAGTGGGGGCTTCGTATCCATTGACCTTCCATGATGTGGTTGGGCTCTACCCAAAAGCCTCAAGCTTCACTCCAGTGATGGGCGCTGCGCACGACACTACAACTCACCACAAAGTGGTCACCTGGAAAGGACTACCAGGTAAACCGCGAAGCCCACATTAACGACTTGGAATTCACCTCCTACGGCAAGTATCATCTTGAAGTAAGCGCGTACGACTACTTCTCCAGTGCTACGTGCAAAGGTTGTCTGGTGATCGTGGACTACAACCGACCAAAGGCCACTACAACGTGCCCCAAGGGCTTCTGCGACACCTCTGATTCGGCTCAATGCTCAAATTCGGCGGAGCTAACGACAGATAATTTAGACAAGGCTAATGGTCTCGTCAACCAGTACTTCGACTTCGCAACCAAGGCCAAGAACGACGCGTGTAGTGTGGACAACCGCTGCGATAAGGAGTCTTTCAGTCGCCGAGATTTCTTCGAGAAGGACTACACAGACCACGACTGTAGTCAAGCTCATCAGTGCTTTAACAAGGATAAAGTGTTGCAAGATCTACTCGCGTCCCAAAGGACCAAGACGAACCCTCTCTTGACACAAGGCAATGGCTGCGATAACACTGATGCACCTGTTCCTATCGGCCAGTGTACGAGATGCTGCAAGATGGACACGTCGTTGAAGGAATGGTGGACGGACTACCGTTGTGGCGCGGACTACGACGTACGCTCGTGCGAGGGTGACAGTGATCAAACCTGCCAGTTTAGTCAGTGTTTGGTTATGAATGGATACACAATGGCGACGGTGACCGCGTCGATAACCGCTGATGCCAAGGCTGAGACAGAGTCTGTGCTCGCTCAAGTGGAGGACGAAGCCTACCAAACGGTAACTCAAGTCCATCGCTCATTGGACTGCACGTCGTTCGGTGGCACCGACGGAGAGTGTGAGTTCAGAGCCAAATTGTCGGAGCTTATCGACACGACGCAGACGCTTATGGTACCATCCACCGGTCAGGCTACAGATTACGTGTTCTGGCGCTACAAGCTCGTCTCGGACGGTGAGTCCTGGCAACTGTGGAAGACAGGCAAGCAGGAGAGCTACGGAGAAGTGACGTACGATAACGACGATGTTTTGACGCTCTCGAACCCAGAGACGAAGATCACAATCGAAGCCTGGACGCAATGTGGTCTGGTCCGTCGCTTCTTCTTCTACGTTCATCTACACGTCAACAGCCCCGTGAGTGTGTGTGAGAAATTCAACAACATGTGGTACCAGACATCCGTGTCGAGACTACCGATCGGCGCGGGCATGTGTGCATATCCAGGTAGCGACTTTGCCGAGCTGACGTTCGACTTCCACCCGAACGCAGGTTTGCAGTACTCTCGCGAGGAGTTGAGAATGAAGGTGGCGAAGGTTGAGTGCACGGGTGCTTTGGAAGGACGTTTACCAATTGATATCTTAAGTGTGACCCAGGAATCCCCTGAAATTGTCACCCGGTTCGCTGTTACAATGCTGAACAAGGCCACAACCGAAGCCGCCACGGATTTCCACGTTGAATGTGTATTTACCTACACCAAGTACAGTGGAGCCACTGCCACCGAGACGTGCAAGCGGGATTTCTCGATATCAGACTGCAAGGGCCCGACTTTTGACACGCCAAACTCCGTGTGTGAGTACGAAGCATGCGCTGGAAATGACTTGGCTGGACTGTACGAAGCCTGTGGTGGTACCGTCGTGAAGGCCGATGATAAATGCACAATCGTGGAGTCCGGAGAGAAGTCGTGTTGCCAGGGCTGTGACTCGACGGAAGTGACGTGCACGGCGTTACTGGATCTACCGAATGCCAATGCGGACCTCATGCGATGCGAGCCGAGCGCGGGTGGTGGCGCCTACTCGAGTCCTAGTACGAGCTATGGAGCTGTGCTGCTAACAGAGACTGCTCAGGAACACCCTGCAGCTACGGCATTGTTCGGAGCGACGGCGTTGATTGCAGTGGTGGCGCTGGTTGTCGTTCGCCGCCGGGCAGTTGCTGTCTATTCTGCGCAGACGGTTGACGATGCCTATTACCCGTTACTCCACTAGCATTGACTGGGTCTGGTTTTGCACTTCGCTCTTGGGATCACTCCTGCGCTATCGTGGGTCGTGTAGTACAAAAATAACAAGTGAAAATAAATTGATTTTGATCGGTGTTTTCGAATTTTGGTCCTGGGTTCGTATTATGAAAAGAACTGAAATTCGGTTAATAAATAAGGAGAGCATTTTCATTAATCGCTTCGGGACGTCGAGCATTGAAGAGAACTACAACTTTAGGTGTTATTGATATCAACACGGATACTGCCAGCGGAAATGCTCCGAATCTTGTTCGATATGTTGCCAGGAAACCTACCGACTGGTGACAAAGCGATCCAAAACGAACGCTTTGAAAAGAGACCCCTGACTAATGGCCCCCTGGCGTAAATGGCCCTTGAAACAACGACGCTGTCACTTTTAAATTCAAGAAAAAGAGGTCAAGTGATCAAAGTATCCCTGCTAGAATCTGTTCAATTTCGTTAGTGATGAAGCTCCTTGGACTGCTTGCTGCAGGAGCTTTTCAGTTACCTCTCGAGGCACTGGCCATGAGAGCATCGCTGGGCGTTAAGGAGACTCTACTGGCTGAAAGCAGGGAGCGCAGTGTCACGTTTGCTTCGCTTCCTTTCCATCTTCCGAACAACACCCTCGTTCCTCAGGAAGAATTTCCGTTCATATTTAAGCGGATAGAAGGGTTGTCGCATAGACTGAGGAAATTTCTCATTCCATCGTTGGAGTTGCAGGAAGTGCTTTCCCTGTGGACATTGATGAGAACAAGTTGGTGGGCCACTTGAATGAGGCGATCAAGGAGAAGAAGCCCAACACGATCAAGTGTGAAGCAGACAAGCTGAAGCTCTTCCTGGCGAAGAAGGGCGACGCGTGGCTGCCGGACGACGACCCTGCTGCACAAGATCTGGACAAAGGGATGATCCATCAGGATGTACAAGCCTTGATTGCAGGGGGTCCGAAAATGATATTGTTATTTATCGTAATAGCAACTTTAAGATAAATTATCGCGAAGCTAGCTTGTATGTTGGCAATACGTTATGATGCTTTAGCTAGAAGACCAATAAATAATTGAGTTACTGCTGCAATAACTAAGGTTTATTGAATCAATAACAGGTATCTACGCTCGAGTTGCTGTGTCAAGTGTTTGTGCGTCCCAGTAACCAGCGTTTTCGCGCAGGAAGAGAATCATTTCTAAAGTAATGGGCTGCAGTCCATGGCGTTCTTGGCCAAACGTGGTACGAGCAACGCTAAAAAAGCGCTTCACCACGTTGGACGTCGCAGGGATTGCATGCAAGAGCTTGTACTTGGTCTCCTTCGCGGCAAGTCGGCGTCTCTTTTGAAGCAGCTGGACGAACGAATCTTCGCCGTCGTCCTCGTCTTCACTCACTGCAGAAGGGCCTGTCGACTTGAACGGAGTCAACACTGTTTTTTCAGCTCGCGTGAGGCGGGCTGCCGCCTAAGACCCGTACACACCCTGACTCAAAGTCAGGGCTGTGAACAATTTCAGCGCGTGGGCCTCGTGTTCATAGTGAATACAAAACAAATTAGCAATGGATACTAGAAAAGGAAAAAATATGCTGCACGTATTAATGTACCGAGCGTAGTGTGGTTTGATGGAAATCAAGCCATCCAGCCACACTCGAGCATCAAGTAGTGATACTTCGTTTCCCTGCAAAGCTTTTGCAACGGACTCGACCTTCTTCAAGTCTGCTAGCAGAGCACGCAAACGGCGGTTGTACGAAGGGGACGGCAGCAAATCTGCGATGTCGTCGTCATTGCTGTCGATAAACTCCAGTAGTGTGAAGTACCGCATCACCATAGCGAAAGTGGAGCTCCATCGAGTATCTTGGCGGATAACTGGACGGAGCGGCGTTTTAGTTCTACATTTAAAATAGAAACCCAATTAGAAACGTTTCTAACTACATCATTATCAGTTCAAACTTACCTCAGCTTGGCACTTTGCGTCAGGTTACGAAGCTTGATCATTAACTTCTGGACAGCATCCAGCTCGTCCTCATAGTCTTGCATGTCAGCTTGCACTGCTCGGTTAAGGCGGTGGCTGGCACAGCCGATTAGCGGCACACCCATCAGCGTTGCGAGCCGCCGGTTAGCCGAGCAGTTGTCTCCCACCAGGAAACAGCACTGGCCCAGCTGCTAGCAGTAGTCTCGAGGCAGCATAGTGGCAAGAAACTCCATGTGGCCGCGGGCGGAGAGGTCTTCCTCCTCCTCGTTGAGCAGTGGAGCCATACAAAGAAGAGGAGTCTTGACGACCCCGTCCACCTCGTAGCGAGCGTACACTGCAATGTAATGCTCTGAAGCACGAGACCAATTAGCCCAAAAAGGTCAGGCATCTCTTCAGCGATGCCACGCTCCACGGCCCGCGTCACACTACTCATGCCAGAGACGAGCGTCTCGACACAAATTGAGTCAAGGTTAGTACCTATAGAAAGCAAATAGAAACAGAAGTTAGAAATTCATAGGCAACTTTAGAAATGCGTATGACTTACCTTTTGGCCGCCTCATTCTCACAGAATGACAGCGGAAGATTGCTTTTTAGGATCCACTCCATCCAGCTGAATAGATTGAGAGAGGAGCGCCGCACGTAGTTGAGGATAGACCCCGTCTCGGCCGAGCTGGCGGCGAGCATGAGGCTCTCATGGGTTAAGTGCTCGCTTCGAACGTGCGATACCAGGTTGGAAAAGCCATTGCAGCTAGCCTGCTTTCGAACCGTGCCGCAACGACAGCGGTAGTACTTGAGGATGACTTCATCGAACTCGTCGCGGCACGGTTGAAAGAAGAACGCAGCAATTTGTGCTGGCGTGAACGTGGAGCGCACACTGCGTCGAGACGAGAAGACCATGGTAACGGGAGTGTCGGCGTGGGAAGTGAGAGAAAAGAAAATGAGTCTGCTGAGATCAGCCAATTCGGCAACAAAACGACTGGTTCGTGGCGATCGATTGACTGCTGCAGATAACTTCAGGAAACTGTACGCATAAATTACCGTATGTAATATGCAGCCACCATAAATTATGCACGAGCCTAGTTTAGGGTAACAACATAAATAATGTCTGCTTATTTATTGAAATTACTGTGTCGTCAATTTATTTTTTCGGGGGCCCTGCTTGATTGATGAAGAGAAAATGGTGGCGACGTGGACGGTCGAAGATGTTTTGATAGCCAACAAGATGACAGTACAGTAGTACGCCCCGAAGTCGAGACAAATTCACGTGCTGGTGGTGGTTCCTGACGTGGCTGGATATGCCGTGGCGTCAGTTGAGCTCTCGGCTGCGCCAACGACAATTCATCGTCATCCCGAACGTCTCAAACGATGGGCTGCGATTTATGAAATGATCCGACAGAAGAATCGAAACGGAAACTTGAAGACGAGCAATCAAGAAACCAACAAGAAGCGAAAAAAGCACGATGTCGACGGGTTTGTGGGTTATTCGAGTCTTTGTTGGGAAGATATCAAACCTATATACAACTTTGAGTCTTACAAGCCTCAGCCAAGCGATGTACCTGACGCCGACATCGACCTACTCCTCGCTCGTATTGTTGACTTACGGAAACTGTATGGTGAAGTTACTGACGGGGAAGAGGCGAAGAGATTATTTTTCATCGCTCCAATCCTCGAGACAGTCAGTCGTCTGCTCGGTGATGTCCAGATATTAGTCGAAGAGGACGTGAATGGAAAGAACGTGCTCGTTAAAGGTCGATTCGAGTTTGTGTTGAAGCGTGGCAAGAAAAAAGTATTCATCGTCCAGGCAAAAAGAGAAGATATGGATCAAGGAGTTGTTCAAAATATGACGGGGCTCGAAGCGCTGGCTGATGTTGAAGAACTTTCTGTGACTTATGGCATCGTGACAAATTACCTCGAGTGGAGGTTCTTAGTCAGCGAAGACGAGAGGGTCCGAAAGCATGTATGCTCTCTCTCTCTGTCTCGGATACGCTACCGTCGTTTGCAGGATTGAAAGAAATCGTCGGGAAGATTCATTGCATGCTCTCGAATAATCAATGAGTACGCATTAATCAAGAAGCCACTGCGATGCAACGGAATGAGCTCGAAAGCGTCGTGTCGCAAATTCTTGGATACGTTGGCGCAGAAACTCACTAACTTGTTCGACTTTTTTGAGTGGAGTATGGTGCTCCACCATCGGGAAGTCTTCTGAGTTCTCAGCAGCTCGCGTTCAAGCAGTGCTCATTCCGATGGCGCGTTTTAATTTCATCGTAGTTCTAGATGTGTGTAAAAATATCATCAACACTCCTTCGATATGGTAAAAAAAATCGTCCTAAAGTTAGTACATGTAATGTATAGAAAGATGGCGGCATACTCACTTGAACAATACCAAGCTAAGAAGAAGCGCATTAATGCAGCGCAATAGCGCTACTACCAGCGCACACGCGAAGCGCGCTTGTCCTACCAAAAGAGCTACGACGATAACAATCGAGAGCAGATCGTGCTCGGAAGCGAAAACCCAAAATCGAACTTAATGAGGATGTAAACGAACTTAGCGCTGAAACCGAACTTAGCTTAAAAAATTCTTGAGATGAAAAAAGTCGCCAGTGATATAAAGTCGATCCTGATACAAAATCTCAATACACAAAGTCATCCAACCGAGAATAATACAGCTGTAAATATATAATAAACATGTTCACATACGAGCTTAAAGGACTAAAAAGATTAAATATTGGCGGTGTATGCTGTTACATACTCATTCCATAAATAGTTCGTGTATGTGGACGATATGTGAGTCACAAATCGTCCACATACGTCAGGAACACACGTTTATACACGATAATTTATTCTGTCGCGGTAAATTACCAAATCGATATAAGCAAGACAGAGGCTCGCCACATTAATAAATGAGGCACTTTCAGTGTTGTGGAATGATAAATGAGGTACATGTACAAATGACTGTTAAGTAAGGAACTTTCAACTGAGAGATATATTGATAGATTGGCTAGTGTTGTCAACTCCGACTTCCAACTTGTCCGTCATCTCTGTAATCGATGATACTAGCCAAAAAAGCGAAGGTCTTTGTCGGAATAGAGTCGACGGAGACCTTGGACAAAGT